AATATCAAGTACAAATTGTATCCAATTCCACACATGACTTACCTCAGTAAGGAAGTTCTCAAACTATGTGGAGATCTGAAAGGGGAATTTCTTCTGCATCATTCAATTTCTTTCTTTTATATGCCAACCTATTACTGGTATTAGCCATAGCGTTCAGTTCTCCTTTAAGAAAATCCCCTGAACCAACCTGACCTCGGTTCATGGCCTGTGCTCGTTTTCTCTCTTGATCAATAATAATTTCATTTGTGAGGTATGCTTCTTTGCGTATTTTATCACGGAGATGGCGAGAAGTATCAGGAATAAGCCACTGGACAGCCATCATTACAAAGCTAACCACATTCTGTAATACCACATTCATAGTCTGGTCACTATGCATATATATACCAGGTTTGTATCTTAAATGTAACAACACCAATGTATTATAGGATGATTATGAATAACGTGTTGGGAAGTATATGACCATGGTGTTAACTCTAATTTCGTACAGAGGGCGAGATAAAATAATTGGTCACTAGAACAAGACTTGGACCTCTAGTGTTGTTGTACTATGAATATGCTTCACAAAGTGAGATAATAACCAACTACTATTTACAAGTGCTGAAATGTCTATAAGATACACAGTACCATAAATAGTCACAGAAGTGTAAATCTGTCAAGTCACAAATTCAGCATGAAAATGCACCTTCCTACTCAGCTCAGCCTATTTGACAATTTTCAAATAAACATGGTATTACACTAGTGAGTCTCCCTACTTAACAGATATGGCTCCCCCATCACTTGTCATTCCCTACATTTAAAAAAATTGAAGAGCAAAAGATTTGATGAGGTAGACATAACAAACACTGCAACAAAGAAGACATTGGTGATTCCAGAAACTCAGTTTGGAAGATGATTCCAGCATTGTCATGAGCAATAAACCAAGCATGTACATGCTGAAGGACCTACTCTGAAGGGGATTAACCTCACATCAATCAGAGATTATTTTGATAATTTTTTTGCACAAAACTGCTAAATAATGTAGACATTATAGATGGCTGGCTTCTGGGTTGCAGCACCATGTAGTCTGGTATAAGGTTACCAACAATTCAGAGATCCTTGTTGGCTCCATTATCAGGGCAATAAGCAAAGACATCTTGACATAATGCTACATTTCTACCAGACTATGTGACACTACAATCTTCATACTCACTGCAGCGAGAATCTCAAATCCTACTCATGTAAGCATGTGATTCAACACATGAACTCAACAATTTCACCAGCTGCAGCTCAGAAACATCAACCTATTTAATTTTCAGGCCTTGTATATAAACTCACATACAGAACTAACAGATTGAACCAGTCTGTTTGTACATGTATGATCATTACAGACTAATGACAGTGACAAGAGATTGTCAATGCTGTGCAGGGAACTATGTCTGTAAGGAAATGCAGCTCTTAACAGGCTCAATGTCAGACATAAATTATACATGAGTTAATATGGCGCAGTGGTTGAATGGGAATGATAATGAAATGGAAAAACTGAAGAATTCTGAGAAAAACCTGTCTCAGTGCCACTTTACCTATTAAAAATTACACATGGGTCCAAGATAAGTTAGATTAACATTTTCACTGCAATGAACAAGATATATTATTTTGAAATGTGTTCTCTTTCTCTCTATACCATCAGCAACTTACATTATTAACAAAAAGAAACATACCAACAAAGGAAAATACAATATATAATAAATAACAAAACAAAAACCTTTTGAAGAAAACTGAAGCATAAAACGTGTAAAAATAATAAAATGCAATTAACTACTCCAACAGTGTTTCCAAATGATGCAAGAGACAATAGTCGGTATCTTGTGTCAGCAGTCATGATACAGTTAAAGTTGATACTGTACCTTTCCTCAATTCTCAAAATGTCAAATAAAATACTGGACATTGGGGAAATTTTTTTTAAATTCATTCATATATGCAAACTTCAAAAAGCAACACAATATATGGGTGTTAGATTAATAACCTTACCTGGAATACAACAACAAATGCCAGTCGTGCAGCTAGAATGTGCCAGTATATGAGAGGGCGCTTGTACGGACGCTCATGCCACGGTGGATTTCTATACTCTGGATACCTATAAAATAAAATATAAAAAATATCATCAGTAGCAACTGAGGTATGATTACTCAAGAATTTTCAGACAGTCTGCAATGGTTGACTATATTTGTGAACTGTTCAGACTCCTCCTCACAGCAATACAAATTTTCCTGACAACTGTAATGTCACTGAATTCAAATCCTTTCTGACCTACGTAATCTACTAAAGTATCAACACAATACAGTTCCATGCTATGACTGATCTACACATGGATAAACAGAAGTTTACTGGTATGTTATGTATCAAACTTTATACAATACACTGTTTTTGAGAAAACTGAAGTTTGTTATTATCTTCATAGCACAGGATTTTCTGCCTTTATTACCTGCATATGTCAACATGAGGTATGTTGGTAAGAGAATGACTGAAGTGTGCCGTATCAAAGTAGGCCAAAGAATGATTGAGGAAGCCAACATCTGTGTGATCTTGACTTACAGTCATCATGTACACAATCCGTGGAATAAAGTTGGATGAAAATGCAATGATGAATGCCTAAAACAAAAATATAGGACCAAAGGTAAAATAAGACTTACCAGTGAAATGTTCACGCACAGAACAATGATAAATATCACTAACTTTGAGTGGTAAGGTGTCAAACATATATGGAATTGCAACTTATTTCAATGCCTACTACCATTATCCCAGTGGTTTCTTGGAACACCTCATTGGTATATATTTAATTGGCCCTACTATCTTGACTTGAAAAAACAACAAAGATCTTTAATTTTCCAAATGAAGTTACCATGATGTTCAGAATCTTTTGTCACCCCATCTGCTATCTAAAAACTTAAGACTAATTTCACATGCTGTTTTGTATGGGTGTGAAACTCAGACTCTCACGTTAAGGAGCAAACACATACTGGAGGTGTCTGAGAACAGGGTGATTAGGAGAATATTTGGACCTATGATGGATGAAGTAATTGGAGACCAGAGAAAATGGCATGACTTATTGCTTCATAACTTTTACTCTCTTTTAAAATCAAAGAGGATGAGATAGGTGGGGCATGTAGCATGGATGGGTAAGATGAGAAATTCATATAAAATTGTTGTTAGAAAGTCTGAACTATAGGGACCACATACATGGAACCAGAGTATGTCTTTCTACTCATCTTTATTCTAACATTAATTAATGTACCATTTAGAAGTGATGTAATATAAATGAAAAAAGCTTAGAAGGAACAACAGCATGACAAACTTGATCCAGAGTTAACAAACTGCTCATACTCACATTAGTGACCACAGAGATACGTCCAAGAATGTCCAGAATGCAAAACCATACACCAATATCCTTTACTCGTTTTGGAACAGGCCGACGATAGAATCGAAGGAATTTCTTTGCATCAAGCCTCATCTCCAAAACATTGTTTAATAATGCAAAGAATGGAGCCAAGGGGAAAGCTGCTACGAAGATGGTAACAAACCCATACTGCAAAACTGAACGATGCACAATATATAGTATCAGTAACATGGTAATGAATTAATGAATCTCTGGTTTCCATAAAGGGCAGGGAATTTCTTGACTACCTGAGCATATTATTTGCATCTCAAAATGACTGCTCAATTATGGCATACTATCAATATAAAAAACAATTCCTGATCCTCCAGTTATTAATTTTTTTCGAGAATACATGAGTGGAAACTGCAAGAATGCAGTCTCAGTAATAGTATTTAATTCACATGGATAAAAAGCCATTAGAAATTTAATAACATGAGTCTTTGCATACATGTAAGTGCTGAAAACATTATTATTTTACAAAATTATAATTTCCCATAGCCGGCCACAGTGGCCACGCGGTCTGAGGCATGGACCCCGTGCGCCTGGCAGCTGGGACCGTGGATTTGAGTCCCACTCAAGGCATGGATGTTTGTCCGTGTCCTTTCTCTTCCAGTCTGATGGATAAAGACTGGCCACGGAAGGCAAGGCGAAACCACTGTGGTACCTTTGCAAGAAACAACCCCGTAGTGGGGTTGCCAACCAATCCTAGGATTGTTTTAAAAAAACCAATAACAACAACAACCACCACCACCACCATTAAACTGTGTCTGTCTGTAGCAAATGCCTCTGAGAATTCTTACTGATCTTTGCTTCTGCATGCTCATTGAGTTGAAGAAATCCATTTATAAATTGGTTAAATAAAGTAATACCAACTGTGAAATTTGCCAGAATGCTAAATTACACAGTTTTACATTGAGCTAAAATCAGTGCAAGTAAAATGATGATAATGAATTATTTACCCAGCACATGATACTATGTAACTTGATAAGTTCATATTGTTGCTAAGAGACATTCAAGGCAAAAATTTCTTTAATTGTACAAATTTACCACTATAAATGCACACAAAAATGCCTATACAGATTTTAGAAGTAAACAGAAAACTCACCCATTTCAAGATACTCTGGAAATAACCCTCTAGGACCCCAACCTAATAATTTGTAGTCTTCAGTCCACTGTTTCTTTATTTTTCCATTCTCTTTGTCTTCTGCCTGCAATCCTGTTTTAATCTTGAATGTGTTCCACCACTTGAATAACAGCCTAAAATAGAGAATGCAATAGACATGCTATACTTCAGTATTTCACTACAAATTTAAAGTTAATTACCTAACTGTAACAGAGTAGCAAATGGACATTTGGATTTTTACACGTTATATCTCACATTTTCAGAAGCTGTTGTGATCAACTGATAACATTTTCCTAAAAATGGGAAATATAATCAAATGTTAATCACATTTTTTAAATTTAAAATTTATAAAATAATTTCCTTGTTTCAAAATTCTTAGATAAACATATACACATGATGCTTCAAATCTCTTTACCTCCTTGAGCAGTTTATAGGTCATTATTTATCTTACAAACTTCAGAATAACAAAAATTTAAATTTAATAAACAGTAATTCAGCTTCTTTGACACATACTGTGTTCAATTCAATTACATAAATTTACAGCCTATCTAAAGAAATAAAAACATCAGTAACTAACAAAGGGGCAAACAAGTGTGGCATAAGCTATAAAAATAGGAGGGGTAATGTGTTGTGGCATTAGTCATTTCAGATTCAGCCACTAGCCTGAGCAGATCATAAACATATGCATTATTGGAAGACAGTTGTTTTCTCATTTTGAGTTATAACACAACCAAAATCTGAGGACACACACTCATTCAAAAAGGTACAGTAACTGTTCCCAGTTTTCCATACACAAGCAGAAAGCGTGTTACAGTTTCTGTAGTAAAGTTATCTGCATTAAATCAAGAGTGGTATGGCCAACTGGCAACATACAGTCCATCTGAAAAAGACAATGCATCTTGATGAGAGACAACAAAAAATGGTTTCAGTCATAGTTATATCCAACCATTTATCAAAATTCATATCCTGTCATCCACTTATCTGATAAATGTTTGAAAATGTTGATATAAAAATCTTTAAATATTGCTGCAAAGTTATGTAAGTGAATCAGGCTATCTGTACATGGTTGATGCAGACAGCAGTACTACAACAGAACAAAGACATCAAGAGAGTAGGATGAGAGTGAAGCAGCATCAAACAAGTGACATGTCAGTCACCCCACCTCTGCTAAACTACATGGGTCAGTCAAATTTGAATACAGAAATATTATATCCTCGAGAAATGTGAAGGGGGAGGGAAAAAAATCATGCATACATCATATTATAAACTATTTGTTACAATAATGAAATACATTACACACTGAAAACTCCTATATTTCTTTTAATACAGAGTACTATAGTGCTAAACAGGGGTCTGGTATTGCTATTTCATTATAGTACTAATGCAGCAACAGTTTATTCATATGCAAGAGCAGAATTCATCAAAACGAATATAATAATCTTGCAGTACATAAACATACAAAGAAAAGTGAAAAAGATGATAAATATATCTTACCATATTGCATTACAACACTAATTTTCTGATATTTCAAAAAGAAAAGCAAACATGATTTAAAATTTTCTCCTTCATACTTACGGAATAACCATTTCCAGAACAGTATTATAAGCTTGCTTGCCAACCATGATAATCGCGAGTTGAATACAAAGTTCCATCAAACAGCCACCAGGATTGCACTGCAGAAACGTTATAGATTACACTCAGTTGCTACAATTTATATTTTCATGAAATTTTTAAATGTAACATTTGTGATAAATTAGCATTTAATTTTCATAACGACATATATTACTCTGCTGACTGGAGCTTACAAAAATGTATCATTGAAGTAATGTGCTTTCACCTGCATATACAGCTGTTTGATTCAACATGCTGATGAATAATATGAGAGGTAACAGAAATTCATTCTAATACAATTCAAAGTATAGTAGCCAAAGTGCGGCTCTGAAAATCAAATATTAACATCAATTCCACCAGTGTTTTATGACAATGAAGAAACACACTAACAATAAATTATTTTATCGGTACACTACAATTATTTAACTGCTTTATTATCACTAGTAAAAACAAAACTTGCTGGCCTAATAATAGTTTATTCCTGTGTCATTGTTTTGACAAATATGTAACATGTTTCCTAGTTGCAATAAATTAGCTACAAATAAACTTACCTCTTCTTGACGCCACCCAAACACACGATTGTATTTGGCTGGGTAGCCAACAAATTTTCCCTTAAGAAAAGCAATATAGAATATTGATGTGTAGTAGTTTACAAACTGGAACAGATATATCTTCAGTGTCAGGCTATCATCAAATTCTGTCTGTGTTCGAAGAAGTTCCATTTCCGTCAATTTTACAGCCAACCAGTCATACAGCTGTCAATAAAAATACATTATTTATAACCTTAAATCTTTACAGAAATTAAGGCAGTATCACATTTGAATTATTTTATTTCTGACTGAAAAGCAACAGCTGCAGTTTGATAGTGATCAGTCACATTTCTGAACCATTCACCTGCAAATCAGGAGTCCATTGCTGAACCTTCACCAGCTGTGAAAAATACCACTACATAAATTAAATGGACTTTAATTTAAAAATGTGAAGGTGTGAAATGTCACCAAATGATGCTAAAAATGTCTTTATTAGATGAGAAATGCAGAAAAGCCATATAAAAGTATCACTATAATTCCAAGCACACAATTATCTAACTAAATCCAAATTATCATTAACTCACATAATTCAAAAGCATAATGCAAACAAGATTTATAACAGCTGCTGTTGCAGGGATTAAGATGATCTTGTTCTGACCTTCAAATATGCTTTTAGGCCCAACTGAGGCCATTCGGTATAATACTACACCAAACACAGCTCCTACAGCCACTGTGATCTGCAACACATGTAAAAGTATTTTTTAACAGCACGTCTTGAGACTCAAGCCATAGAGCACTATTGACATATCCCACCTTATCACCTTGAAATTCAGCTGTGGCAGAACAATGGAAAAACAGGTGTCAATGCAACTGCTGCTTCAGTTCACACTAGTCTGGCATTGTAATGCCCTACATTATTTTACAAAAATGTAAAAGATCTAGATTCTTTCTCCTATATAGAAACAAGTTGGTAATTTATAATTACCAATAACAAAACAACTGAGAAGCTGAGGATAGTGGCAGGTACACGGACTTTCCAGAATGGAACATATGGTTCTTCAGTTTGCGTAACAACATTGATTTTGGGCTTGTACTTGGCATCACGGAGCCTGGCTAGGTATTCTGGGCGAGGATGTTCTGCCTGAAGATCAAAACCTGAGAGCCCCCAGTGATGTGTGATATCAGCTGAGTATCGCTTCCAAAGTTCCAAGAAGAGTGTTCCTGCAAATGTTTTTAATTACATAGTTAAACTAAACAATGTACTTATGCTTCAGAAACCAATACTTATAAAATAATCATTCATATATACCTCTTAATAACTCATATATCCCTTTACTGAATAGTATCCCCCTCGTATGAAAATTCTTCAAAGTTTCCTTTTAAAAAGACACGTTTCTAATTTGTTGTGTGCAAAACAAATTTGAAATTTATGAAAAGAGTGGGTCATCTGACTACTTCAGACCCTATCCCCAACAAACAAGAATATTAATACCTTTATTCTGAAATAAGATCAACAAACTAATGTGTTATTGGGCCTTCTGTAAGCGAATATAAACATTATGAACATAAAATAAAGACTGTTTGCAGCTATATGTAATCCATGAACCTAAAATTGTACTTGCATAAAACTATATTCATAATATTCCATTGATACATATGTTAGTCAGGTGATAATGATGAACTTCCCTACATTAACCCATCACCATCTATTCAATACTGAACTTAATGGTTAACCATTTAACTATTGTGAATGAAAACTTATATCTATGCAGCATACGAATATGCACACGTTTGTAAACTCTTACTTGTGTCAAATTACATGTATCTAGGTATGAATATTGTTATTATTTGGTCTCAGGTATTAACATCACTGTTTTGTGATTTCATGTTTTTTAATCTTTACAATGTATGTCTAGTTGATAATACCATAACAATGGCTAATATGACACTTTCTACTTTCAATCTGATGATCTTTTTCTATAAACTCACATCATTAAATATTATTTGAGGTAAATGTATGCATTAACAAATTTGTTCTGAATAAAACAGAAGATCTCTGCTTTTAAAAGTAAGTTTTCAGTGCTCTGATGTATATATTGTGTTACATTATTTTAAGCTAGTGTTACTCACCCCAGAAAGACATGAAGAAAGCAAAAAATACAGTGGAGGAATTGTCAAAGAGATATGTGACTCTTGCATAGTCACAAGCATCTGTCAGATTCCAGTAACGGCAAGTATCACATAAGGGACACATAACAATGTTCAGACGTCGGTTACATATGTCCTCACTGTTAAAACAATACAGAAACATGTACTAATTTTTGGCTCACCAATATAAAAACACTAAATTAAAAGCTCTGAATTTACTGTATACAGGGAAAGCAAAACAAACTCAGTATGGTATGAATACAGGTATTATTCAGACTTGTGGTAAAAAGGGGAAGCAATCTTTAATTTATGGAACAATAAACATAATTTGGAAAGTAGCTTTTGGCAACTGTGAATTTATGAAACATAGTCAAGAAAGAAAAATGTACAAATATAATGTCAAATTTAATATTTCACAATGAAGGGTTTGATATGTACAAACTCCATGGAGAAGTGTTGATACTTCTTGAGAAGCTGATAGTCATTGAGCTGATCAATAAATTCTGTGTTTGTTATAGAACTTATGGTTCATTACAGTAATCACAACAGCTTGCCACTGCATTCTGCCCTAAGCCAGAATAATCACACTTTATTTCAGATTCACATTAATATTAACCTTACACATATGCTTCAGATTACCAAGTGGCTTCCCCTTCAAGATTTCTGATTAAAATTTCATACTTATTTCCAATCTTCCCCATGTATGCTACACATCTGGCCCATCACAACCCCCTTGATTTGATAATCCTAATAATACTGGTAAAGAGTAACAATTATAATGCTTTTATTTAAGTAATTTTCTGCATCTGTTACATTCTCTTTCATAATTATGCTTGTTCTAATTGAATATAATGGTGACAGGATTAAGAAGAGATCTTACAAGGATTCAAGAACATATGTTTAATCAAAGTTGTACATATGAAAATGCTATTAAGAAAGTTCAGTGTAAAGGTTGGACTAGAGGATGTTTTCAAACTCCTTGTAGAATATACATTTACATGAAATTACAGAATGGTGCACAGGATTTTTAACCCATTTCTCTGTTAGTTCAGTTCAGTTCAGTTACAATGCGTTACTGATACCTGATAGCATATACACAGATTATAACATTTATTCATAAAATTCACATACCTAAGAGTATTTGAGTACATTGTAGCCAATCCATAGAAGAAGCAGATGAGGCCTACCACTGCTGCAGGTATTAGCATGTGTGTATAGAAACCAAGCCAAGCAAAGTAGAGGCCAAATTTAATTCCAAAGTATTCTTTAATATGATCTATGGGTTGGTACATTATCCATTTACGAATTGAGGCCCATTCCTTGTGGAGTGAATGGCGAAGACAGCCTTCTTGCCTGTAATCTCCCTGCCAAGCATACAGGATACATTATACATTTTTTTTGAAAATGGGAGGATATATACAAAAGGTATTAAATACGTGAAGACAAAACATGAACAACGGCTGTTCAAAAAAACAAAAAACACTGTGTAGGGCACATATTGTACAGGAAACATACTATGAGAACCAATTAACTCAATACAGCAGAGTCCATCTTAGCAAGTTAATACACTGAATAAAAAAACCTCAGCCTTTCAAAGACCTCACAGGCTCATTAACCTTTTCACCAGAGCCAGCTGCTGGTCCCTATCCTTGGCCAGATAAATCCAGTAAACACTTTCCCACACTAATCCTTCAGAATGGTGGGATTTAAATCCCAGGCCCTAACCTGCTGTAGGTGGTTTCCAGAGCCATTTTCCTTTTAGTTCTGTAATGTAGCATTTGGAATCAAATGACAAAACCTGACAAGTCCATGCTGCAAGAATATTCACTTCTAGTATCACATATGCATTTTGACATTTAAATATTTTTACTTTATCAAAAGGACAGTAGAAGAGGCAGATGTGCAAGAGGACAATGTTGTATACTACAAACTTTTTTTAGTACTGAAGAAGTGTGCAGTCTTAAAATTAATAAAACATTCTGCAGTGTCCCAGGAAAATACTCTGTCATAGTTCAAAGGTTGTTTGAGTAGTTTGCACACTTCTGGAATGATTCTACACCAAAATAATACCCAGTCACATACAGCCCAAAAATAGTCCAACTTCTTGAAATGGGGTAGGAAGTACTTCAACAGTCTCCACATAGTCCAGAACTTTGAACAAAATAAGCAAAGTTCATCATAAAGCCCATCATTTCCTGCAAATTACTTTTAAAAAAAGTCAGCAGTTTGATTTATAAAACTTTCACAGTGATGGCAAAAATGTGTGGAATTGGAAAGTGATTATACAAAGAAATAGAGGTGCAAACTCTTAAAACACACATACACAGTACAAAAATTCAAGCCCCAAAATTCAACGTGTGCTCCATTAGTATTCGTACGTGAAGAAAGCAAGTCTTATGCTGCTGTGTATATTAAAGTTTACATACATCATGGAGAGGATAAGCAGCACTGTAAACACCTTCAGATATCAAGCGATTTACTCCAAAACAGAAAGGAGTTTTATTATCTTCAGAAAACTGCATACGCTCCAAGATGAAATCCACTACCGTGGTGCGAACAGCAGCTGTGAAGAAATTCTCTGAATCAACATCAAACCTGCAACACATACCTGAACACTAGACAATCAATTCTTACTAATAAAATATCCTTACAATTTTGAATGACTTCATATGCAACTGCAATGGCAGTAGAAAGGGGATGGGTGTTATCTTGGTTGTAGTGACATGTAGTCTAGTAAAAATTTACCGTTTCAGAGGTCCTTGCTGCCTCCATCATCAGGGATATGATTAAGTACAAAACATTGTAAACATTCAATCAGACTACATGGTGCCACAACCCAAAGACAACCTTCAGACTTGCTGTCATGAAAACCTACTGAAATGACAGTAATTAATAAAATTGATTTTATATTTGCTGAACTTAAAACCAATTACAATTCTGCTAAAATGGACACAGAATATAAACATTTTTAATCTTAGTAACAAATTGTAACCTTCCATCACAAATGTTTCTTTATATAATGCTGCATAACATTTATACAATTTTATTATAAAGAAACATTTGGAATTGCCTAGGACTGGTTCAGAGAAATATTGTCATTGTCATATGACTGACACACTTTTGCTCTTGTGGCATTCAAACTTTCAGAATCAGGGATCACCAAATGTATACCAGTGGGGCCTGCAGAAGTGTTTTTGATAGGTTTAAACCATGGGAAAATGTTTACATACCATTTCAATGGTCCTTTAACCACAAAAAATAGCGTTTTTAAATGTACACAGTTCGTGTGTCTGTAAAAGCAAATGGTGCATGTTTTGAATTCAAATATGCTCTTAGTTGCCATCATAAAATATGTTGGTGACCACTGCTCTGGACAATCATAAGACTGTACAAAAAGTTAACTTGAACTGAATCAAAAATAAGTTAATAAAATTACCTCTTATAAACATCTTTAAAGCCATAACACACATCCATATAAAAATCTAAACATAACTTTAATCCTTTGAACTCAGTTATTCACAACATGAAAACCACAAATCTAACTTCTCAAGATGATGGAAAAGTAAATATATACAAAGCAACAACTCACAGATATATTTTTTCCCTGTTGAACTCTGCAGTAAGCCTGTGCTCCTGTGGATGGAACACAGTTGGGTTAACAAGAACAAATTCCACAAGGCGTCGTACCATAGATTTAACTTCAAGCATGATATCAAATGATGGTTCTTCTATGTCCTCTGGACCATCAAACTGAAACATAAGATTTTTTAGCCACATTTAATAATAAGAAAAATTAGTCTAGTTTCTAAAGCCTGGAATAATTTATTATTAATAACCGTACTTATATCATGTTAGAAACTCCATTAATATAGCACAATAAAACATATTGCACTGCTACCTTTCTCATTGGCATACGAAGTTTTAATATCTCTGCATAACGACCAAGAACTTCAACTGGAGCATGGATCTTGATAAAGTGCAATGATCGATTCTGCTCTCGTTCCAGAATCAATCCCTCTTCCTCTAGGCGATGTTCAAATACTTCCCGTTTTTTAAGCGCATCTTTATTACAGGCTTCTGAACTGTCTGTCCATACCAGCACGAAATCTACTGAGTGTCCTTCATCTAGGAACATTGATGGACTTGTCAGGATCTGGCCAATAATTATGAAAAAATACAATATTTAGATTTGTTATACAAAAAAGGCTGATTTTTGAGAAGTACTAAATTATAAACAAAAGAGGGAAACCATGACTGCAATATTTACAATTTACTAGTTGAATAAAACACCCGAAACAGGTCGTGAACTATCTGATTGTTGTACATTATTGCTTAGGTGGGATTATAACTGAAGGCCAAAATATTAATAGTAATTTCTCTTTTGACATGTTTATGTAAGCTGCCAATATAAGAAAAATAAATTATGCCTTACACATCAGCTGCTTTCAGTTTTATTTTATATCCTGTTCATGTGTATAAGTATTTTCTCCATTTTCATGTGCAGAGCATGACAACAGATCCCTCCAATTTAGGGCAGTGAGTGAAAAATGTTGGGGCGAGGGGGGGCCTTGCCAGTGTGCTGGCAGTCTATGGCTCCTCTAGACAAGTTTAATTAACATTAAAATTCTTATGATGTGAAAATTAAAGTCCTTGCTAATTAAAACAGTTGCACGTTTTATGTTAAAATTAAATGAAGAACAGATGATCTTGAAAGAGGTATCAACAAAAGAAAATTGTGGCAACCTTATATAGTTGCAGCTGGATGATACTAAGTACAGTTTTACTTGCTCAAAGCAAATCTATGATTTCAATTAATAAGTATTAACTTATAGGAATGTGTTAAAAATAATCTATTACTGAATTACAAGGTAGCAGAAAATCTTGAACACACTTCTGACAAATAGTGATGATTATAGGTTAATGTTAATTATGCTTGCAAGTTGCTGGTTGGTTAAATAAATAAACCCATAGTAAATTACCCAATGAACAGTATTTACAAAATAAAACAGGACATTTTATTGTCTTTAATATCAGTAAAATCTCAGTTTTTCAGTTAATAATTTTCTGTCATTTGTGTCTCACGCCTATTTGCATTAACATCCCATAAACGTTCTGGTACAGAAGGCAGTTGAGATTCAAGGATTCTGTACATCTCATTAAAGATGCCAGGTTGGGAAAATAGCTCTTTCAAGGCTTTAACATACTGGTTTATATTTTGTATAAGTAACACATACTTTAGGAAAAGTAGGCCTACATCTTTTTGTTTTTGCATATAAAATTGTTTGTATTCAGATTTTAACACAGAGCACTGTAATAGTGAAGTTGCACTAAGACTGCTTGTACTGAGAAGTGCTTCTACATTTCTGATAAATTAAAATTCAGTAAGGGGTTATAATGGGTTGGGTTGGGTTGGGTTAGGTTACTTTAATTTTATATAATGCTAAAGTAAAAGTATGGATCAAGGTGTTCATTTCCCTCTCCATAATACAATGCAGGCCCTAAATATTACCGTATGTCTGGAAAAAAAAAACATGATTCAAACCAATATCAACTAACCCAACTGTTCCTGCTTTTAATAAACTGGTGATATTTTGGGGCATTTTCTAACATGGTTAGAAATCAATGTCCTGTTTTATTTTTAATCAATGTTACATCTGTGATGAGGTCAATAAGCATAAATAAACCATGAAATCTACCTCAAGTTTAACATTGGGCAGCACCATTGACATGTTCCCTAAACTGCAAAGTAGTTCCTTCAAAATTTGTCAACAAACACTAAACATTCAAAGAAATAAATGCAGTGGAAATACAGAATCTCACACAACATTCAACACCAGAAACACAAGATGATATGTAATTTATCATACTTCTACAGCAGCAACATACATCACTATTTACCATATTTTCATGACTCTCACTATTGGATCCAACTGGTTGATGCATTGTAGCCACCATTTGGTTTTCCTCAGTATTACTTTGTTGGGATTGAATGTCCTGTATACTGTGATATACAGTGCAGTGAGATAAACTGATGTATGGTTTCCCTTTCTTCTGAGCAGATTCTGAACTAATTGAACTTACTGATACTGCATCTTCAAACAGGTCTGCTTCATCTTCCATTGCAGAGTGATAATTTTAATAAAATACTGAATTTCTGAAACACTGAATGACAAGATTTTAAAACTAGTATTTCCACTTCCCCATATATTTGCATGGTGTAGTATCTAGATAAACACCAGGAACAATTTTAACACTAGAGATGCTCTATAACTGCTAAAAAAGATGTTAATATTTTTATTTATTATGCAATGGGTACCGGGTTCGTTTCGTGGGGGTAAAGCGCGGCCAGGGCGTGATACTGACCACTCACCCCATCTAGTGCAAAGGTCAAGAATTAGGAACTATACCTCCTCTCCCCCCCTAGCCCAAATGGCATATAGTGGGACAACTTTACTTTACAGTATACCAAGGAATACAAACCTGTTAGTTACTTTACAAATGAAGCACAATTTAAAAGTTGGAAAAAACTATTTTTCTGATTACTAAAAGCTTGATTTCACAATCGTCATTGTCACCGCTCAATGTATCACTTTCTATCCTCTTAAAAATATGTGGTACAATTTCGTCAAATACTTAGAAATAAAAACCAGTTCTTAACGCTAGCACACAAAGGAAACCGGAGGGGAATCCGCAAACTGGTAAAGTACTTTAACACTAAATACTTACTTACGATAATAAATCCGTAAATATACAATGTTACGATTTACAGATAAGACCTGTCAATTAAATATTATTAGATAATCTTCACGGCTTAGCACTTTTAAATCTGTGCTCTTGAGTACCTGTTATAAATGGTCGTGACATCATTCCAAATACCACGTGATCAGATGATGTAAACAACTCTGAACTTCATTTAATGAAAACGTACGTCACACCCGCTTTACTGCCATCTATAAACACAACTACAAAGGACCACCCTATAGTCTATATCTGCGTTTCTCAATCGATGGTATTGTCGGGCGGTACGCGAACTAAGTAAGAACATCAAAAGAACATAAATAAGTTTTCCTTGAACGTATTTGGTTAGCGGTACATTTAATGTGTTAAATTAGAATTGGTGGTACGCCAGCGAGAGGTTGAGAACCCCTGGTCTACAATATCTATGAGATGGCATATAGTTTGCAATATGGTAAACTACTAAATCATACCAATCTCCCTCACCACCCACCCCATTCAGGTCCCCAATTTCAATCAAAGTAACAAAGGTGCACACATTATGAATTTTGTAATGCAGAAGAGCAACATCTGGGATTTGTTTGAAAAATGTCATAAATAAAATCAACACACCCCTCACAAAGTGTGCAGAAAATAATTGTGAAAAGAGCTTTAGAAGCTATGATCCCACTCATCAAATGTTGACAGTACAACTCTCAGTCCTTGTACAAAATTCTGTGAAAGATGTAATCTTAGCACTCATGCACAGCTAGACTCAAAGCTTAAGATTAAAAAGTTTTCTTTGTGGCTGACAACGATACAAGGTTTATTCACATAGACCTTTTCCTTCAGTAAGTCATGACAATTTGGATCCAGAAAATGGCACACCACATACCAATTTTCACAGATAAAAGTTCGGAGACTTCATATATCCATGAGATTAAACTACCCTTCCTTGATAAATCATGTGTGCAGTTCCATAACTGTTGAAACGCCTTTCCTTGTCCACCAGAAGCAGCTCCTGAATAAGTGTCACAATAAGAATTGTTTTCCCTTTCTTTGCAATTGTTTACTAGAGGAGCCACTGACAAGTGTTCCCATTGCATGTAATGTTTTCACAAATTTTTGAAGAGCATTTGAATGGCACCAACATATCCCAAACATGTTCTAAATGCCATTTGCGACTCTTTGAATGCCTCACTTTTTGTTGGTGTAAACAAGAATTGCTCAATAATGAAATAAGACTGACTACCACACAACATGCAACAAAATGTTCCAAGAATGGAACAGCCCACTTCAGTCTGAGTAGGAAGAGGATATGATTTCACAAGGACTTGGCTATGTAGGGCCAACTCACAAGACTGAACCAACATCACTGCAGAAGTAATGATTTTACTGCTGAAAATCTTGTAACTCCTGTAAAAAGAATCACCATGTATATAAACACATACACAGCATTTATGAGATTTCATAGAGGTAAAAAAGTATTATACACACTGTATGTTTTTTATTTCCTGTCATTTGTCAAAACTTACAATACTACTACAAATAAACAAGGAGACAATAACTGTATTGTTGTAAATGCAATAATTATTGTTCAGAAAAGGAGTTACTGTTTGTTTTTGCCATCCCTCTTTGTCAACACAAAAGATGATGTGTGAACATATTATATATTTTACTGATTTGCAGTCACAGCTCTTTTTCAATATATTTTCTGACAAACTCAAGAGAACATGGAACTGTTAAAACGTGTCAACTTAAAGGAATGATCTAAAATTACTACTGAAATGTTTTATGAGACTTCCACACAAAAATAAGTTGAAGGGCAAGAAACATAAATTATGGGACAGAACTGCAGAAGAACTACATATACGTCTCATTGAACTATGTTCAGTGTGTGACTATCACAGGTACACAGGATAACTTCTCACATTTCCCATTTGGTTATAAATAACTAGAGGGGAATTCCCCCTCCCTTTCCACTGTATACAGATTTTATGAAATATTTCACTACATTTTTGTATCATTAATAAAATTCACACAATTTTCTTTCAAAATAACTTGTTAATGTCCTCTTTCACACGACAATCACACTACAGACACACATGCACACATTCATTCTGTATAATATATAATAATCAGACCAACCATTCTTTGGCAGTGGCTCTGGGAAGTGACGAATCATTAGCTTGGAATATTCATGTAACAAAGAGTCTCCAGACACGAGCAGTCCAAGTAATTGAAATGTATACATGCACTTTCTTTCATATTATGTACCTGTGACACCACTTTTCTCAAATATTGTTACTGTATTTTGCTATTCACATTTTGTTGGCACGGAAATGTTAAGAAAATGTTTGGTCCAGATATCCAAGGAGTTTACTTAACTCTGTACTCCATAGACCCAAACTATCATTCAATGATTCAGCCCCCCCTCAAATAACCAACATGAATAGCACTTTCGTGATGGAAGAGAGCAGAATCTTTCATGTAACGTAAATCACTGTAACTGCAACCCAGCATGTTGCTGCTTGTTGCTTAAGTTCACTTGTCTATCAAACACACTATTCTTTGAGCATTACAAACTTTTCATCACAGGGTTTCTTAAAATCAGGGCATTTATCAGTACCAATCATAACAAGCAAGTAAACTAGTCAAAATTACTACTTTGTGTAAGCACTGAAAAGAACATTTTCATTATTACATTCACATAAGAGAATTTTGTAATTATATAAATTATTTTCAATAATTTTAGACACAATTCACTGGTGCTCTGGAATGATTAGTAACACCCTGAAGAGTTGCTCAAAACAGTGTGCTTAATGTAAAATAGTCAGAAACATTTAATGTGTGCCGGGAATGTGTACATGTTTGTACTCATTAATGATCAAGAACTAAAAACAACACATTTACTTCTAAGCACATAACAAGCACCCTCATTTTCATTTTAAACACAAGACAAGGAATATAAGACTGCCATGTTTGTTTAATCCCAAAATTGTCAAGTTCATGGCAGGAATGAAGCAACAGGTCATATCTATTTCTGAAAATCAACTATTAGGAACTACTATTAATATTATCATTAATGTTTATGCGCCTTACTTAACCCCCTACATTTCAAATCATTTCCAAATGTGATTAAGATATTGAATAGATGAACAAGAATACAAAGTATCTGAGTTACATCAAGAACTGCACATTATTTTCAATTAAACATAACATGATCATGGAAGAGTAAACACAAACCAGAGAAATATTCAGGTTTCATTTTTTTTTAAAAAAAAGTATAATTTTTTTATTGTTATCATTATTATAACTGGCTCCTGCAGCTGTTGAGTTAGGATGTTAAAATAAATAATTGAATTAATTATTATTGTTGTCTATGGATTTATACCATGGATGAATTAAAAGCATCTTCTTTATTTAATAAATGTGTTTGCACTGTTAAGTGGCAAGATAAAGGACAATGGCACTGAAAAAGGTTCACACAAATGTAATATCCAAATTCTTTTGAAAATTACATTTTGACTATTCTGCAATTCAAACAGCACATGATATTTGATAGCACACAAAAATTTGTAGATACTGTTCATACTACAGGAGGTTGCAGGCCTTGCAACATCACAGATGTAGCCATTTTAGCAAACGATTCCAATGTCTCTTGGAAGACCATGGAATTAAAAACATATGTAAACTACTTCCATTAATTGATCCCGGCACAACGGGGAACTGTTTCTGAGATCAAAAAGCTCAAAAAATACTGTCTGTTTTGAAATAGTCACCAGCTGAAGTACTTTCCCCTTTCTTGTAACATGAAAATCCTTCATGTAAATTCTCAACCAAGCATCTTACATTGGCAGTATTCTTACTTTTTTTAACAATTTCTTATCCTAATTTAGGTATAATTTTTGTAAACAACCACTTCTCTACAACATGGTAGGATATTTGTATGATGACTGGGTTCAAAAACTTCACATTGGTGTGAGGATTATGTGTATGTGTGTGTTTTAGTAACTATTCAAGTTCTCAGAATCTGCCAACATTTTTATTTCATCTTGAATTCTGTAAAACTGGAACAGGGACGGCAAAAAGGGAAAATAGCAATGGGGAGGAAAATCCACAACAACGAACTAGAGTTCTTGTAGAATCATGAATTTTCTGCTTGAAACAGTCACAGAAAAAGTTATTTACTAGCAAATACCCTCACGATGCTTGATCAAATCTTTTACTTGTTAAAAATCTGATTTCAAAAACCTTACCCTTCACTCATACAGCTATCCTGAGACTCTAACAATACTCACAGTACAGCTACATTCTATAGTTACGCCTGCAGTAACTACATGCCTACATAATTACGAGCCTCTAATGGATTGAGTGTATTATGTTGCGCTGTAATATTTTCATTGTTTCTCTCAGTTCAAACATTTACTTCTATTCCAGACCAAAGATATTTCAAGTAATTCTCACAATATTCAAGTATCAAAGCTACGAGCAACATTATCAGTCAAATCCTTAGAGGATCTTAATTATGTAAAAAGGAAATTCAAACTTCATTCACATCTTAACATCACTGCTTGTTTTAGCAAAAAACCAATAATAAACATATTTAAAGAGTTCCATTATCATTTTGTAAACCAGTCTGCTTTACAAACTAGATTAATACCTTGGGGTAAAAAACGTTTTTCAACATGATGTATGGTGAAATGTTTACTAGCACTGTAGTTGCAGATTATTTTGTCACCAGCTTCTTGGTGAACAATGTGCTGTTAAAACTGAATGACTAAGCAATCTGCAGTATGATGCTTGCCAACAGTACTCTCATTTTCTCACTTCAATTTCAATGAAGAGTGGATAAAAGTTTGTTTCCCTGTATGTGTACATGCCCTTGGTATTTACTGTGGGAAGCACCTGAAACTGCCTTCCCTTATACATCATACCACTGACCTTTCAAAAGATACACTTTGTAAGACAACAATATATGACTGAATGTAGTAATACTGCTATATTATTATCATCAATGTTACACCACAAAGGATGTCATCATCCCACAAATATACTGAACATTCACAACAAGCAGTTTTAATCTCAAGAGTTACCAACACTAACCTGCCACAGCAAACAAACAAAACTGAATTTGCAACAAATCTGATGAATTTCATGTTCAACACAAGTTGTTCACTTAACATTCAAAGCAGGTAAAACAGAGTGAACATGCCCTCATCACAGATTAAATCATGGTAAAATTCAAAAGGGCACAACAAATTAATTTAACACGTAATGCACAAACCATACATGACACACAGATGATTTAATGCATAATGTAGCTTATGTAGAATCTGCAGTAAATAATGACTTCTGAGAGCTCACATGGGTAAACATTTGTTTTTTTTAAATATTTTTATTTATAACTTTTAGAAGTTATATTAAGCATTCTGCAGATCTATTATGAGTAATCTAGCTAGTCCATAACACACAAACTGCATATGGTACAGTGCAAAGCTTTCTCATACAATATCCTGATAATATTTGTGTTAAAGTGAATTTATCAGCATTCCTGTGAATGTTCTGTATATTGTGACAAATGTTTCTCCTGGTGCCAAGCTATTTTGTTTCCAGAAATAACCAAAAAATGTCAACTGTCTTGTCACACGAATGTGGACAAGATGCAGCACACTAGAGACTATGTTATATGGAATACTGTAACAAAGCACCAAAAGAAACCTTGTACAATGTATTTCACACATAAAGTATTTCAAAGACTCGTGATCCACTGAACTCAAAAAGGTTTTGAAGTACATCAAATATAATAATCTCCTGATGAGTGAAAATCAGCCACTAATAATTAAATAATCACTGCTGTCAGAAATTCGTAATCAAATTATGTTAACTATAGAATATTTCATACACACAATGCTCTATATAGTGAGACAACACTAATTTGCTGCAGCTGAACTTAATGCAACTTTTATTTGGCAGTAATCACATTTAAGAAATCATGAAGAACATAAATACCAAATGCAAGCCTAAATTTATGTTACAAATTCAATCATATTGGGCTCAGAGGAAAATAAACAAATTAAATATAAGCATGTATGATGGTAGCTCAGGCCCTCTGATCAGTTCAAAATCATGGTCTAACATGACTCAACAGTTCACTTGCAAATGCACTTGGTTAATAAGGTCTTAACTTCAGAAAAACATGTTTACCAATCAAAGTACATCACCACAAAGTTATCACATAATAACCACCAAAACGTTTGGTTTAAGAAATAGTTGTTTAAAACAAAAGTACAAATAGAAGATGGCTGTTTTCTGGGTTGTACTGTCATATAGCCTGACAGAAGTCTACCAATGTTACAGAGGTCCTTGCTGCATCCACCATCAGGGCAATCATAAACTTCTATCAGACCATATGGGGCCACAACCAAGACAGCCGTCTTCACACTCACTGACATGAAAACCTCAAAACCTACCTACTAATAGTACAAATGTTTGGTGTTGTGTACATGCTTATAATCCTAAAATTTAATGTAAAATCATAATCCCAAAATTTAATTTTCAGTGCAATTTAAAACCATATTTAAATCTTGCTGGATGGAGATATTATGGAACGATTCTAGCAGTATACAACAATAGCAACCCTGTTTGTTTAATAATGTTCTAACTTGTACGGTCTCAAGCATATACAAATGAAACTCTCCTACTCACTACCGTGACAGTAATGTCTGAACAAAGGGTCATTTTGAAGACCAGCAGATGGCCAAACAATTACAAATATACACACACAAATCCAAGTTCTAAACAACAACCATGACAGATGTTTGGAAATTTAAGATGTGTAATCCAATTTAACAATACACCTGCAAATTAATACATAATATTAAAGTACAGCTCCTTTCATATATAAGAGACAATGGTCTCAAAATTTTTAATTCAAAACAAGTATTTGTTTCTAAAGAAAAAAAAACCACAATCCCAACCAAGCAAACTCCAGATTAAAATTATATAACATCCCATGAACAGACATTATAGACAATCATAATTTAAAACTGGAGACCCAATTAACCAAGCCAATTTACACTTTCAAGACATACTGACTTTCACCAAACCATAATTTCTACAAAATCACCTACAGTTAAGCATCACACATACAATTTCAATACATATGTTTTCTTAAAACTAGTTAATTGATCAGAATGTGAATATTAAGATTAACTAATGAATGAAGAATAGTTCTCTTGATGATTAACATGAAGATAACATAAATGAGAAAATACATTACTTTGTAACTCTGTTTCCAAACATAGGAAAGAGTAAAAATGCAACAGCCCCCTGATTGCCTATTACCTTCAATTCTTTAGATTTTCATATAATTTACTTCATATTATTTAATATTTAGCGTGAAAACAATTTGCTTGGGGTACTGGCGTGTTTCCAACTTCTGCTTTGCTCTTCAGCACTAGCTTCTTAATTACTTGCAAGGGGCCATGATTTCCATATGTAGCAGGATACAACTTTGTTAGACCAACTAACAAAATTACTGATCTCAATAAAAAGCAGTGTACCTAAATGAAGGTGAGGAAGCGCATTATTACCTTTAATGTCAAGATAATGGAATAATATTGATATATGCTGTAGTTATATATTCCAAATGCATAAAAAATTATTTTTCACTTTCACAGCCTAACCAATAGCTTGTAAAAATAACCTCTAGCCATGTGAGATCAGGTCCAATCAAGTGCAATTATGGCTATCATATTATTAAATGGAAAGATCACATCAGTTAAAATATTTGAAAATACGGTGTTACTTGCTGACTATGAATTCGAAGTCCACATTTCCTAAACACTATTTCGTGTAGAATTCTAAGATACTAATTTTTATGTTTGAAGAGATTTTCAAATAATTTAGTCATAGGACAATTCTAATTTCCCTTCACAAAAATAATTGTTCAAGGGTTTAAGCATTAAAGTCACCAAACAATATCCTTGATAAACTGTCAACAGATTGAAAAGTACTTAAACTAGGAATAAATCCCAGTTATCAATCGCAGAAGAAGCATTTCACCTTTCTGCTACGTTTCAAGCCTAAGAATGAATATTGTGAGGATGCCTAGTATAGGCTACCCAACAGAACCAAAATCTTGGTTTTGAAATGTACACACACCTCTCATTACTGTTAATGTTAATAGGAAAATAATATTAAATAAAATAACATTTTATTAGCTTCATTAGCAACAAGCTGCCACTTCTTTCATATGATGAAAAATGTTAGCAGCACCACCACATAAACTGAGAAAATGTATACTGTACATTTTTCCCAGGGTATGACTTGCTTATTAATGCATTTTTATAACACAATAAAGTATGGTAATGAAATGGCTACTTCTTTTAAAAACTGTATAGTTTACACTTATGCCACATACTCCTTTCCCTCCCTTTTCTGCGACAAGATACCTGTGAAAACCCGTAACTTTTGTACAAGGATGTGTTGAATGAGTGTGTTTTTAAAAGATCTTTTGTATCATATGATATACGAGATTCAACTGTATCACACACAAGGAAAAAAAAACTTGGCATTCATATTCCTATACTTATTGCACATAAATAATACCGTACGTATAAATAGGAAATGTAGTGTATTAAAGCTTCAGTTTTTTTTGGGCCTTTGTTTTCTCTACCCCATTCACGCTACATACGTACCCCAAACTTTTCACACCCTTCAAAGTCCACTATTTTATCGAGTATTATATTTGGTGATACTCACCACATAAATCATTTACTTCACCTTTCTCCAGTTGGCCTCTGGCCACTTCAGCAAAGAAGGCAATATGCCTCAACAGCAGCAAGTAAACAAAGGAACTTTCCTCTCCAACTTTTATGTCTCAGAATGAACATGAACAATCTCAATTCTGCTCCAAAGCTCATCTGAAGTTTTACAGTGCACAATTTCCTTTAAATTTTCAGTTATTCAAGAATATTTCCATCACTTCAAATGAATCAGCTCACATGAAGTCTTTTATTTCAAAGTTCATCTGTGTTCATTAACATAGAAAGTCTATGTATGTTAATTATCGTGTATTAATCTTAGCTCCACTGTTGAACAGACATTTCCTCATTGGAATCCGAATAACTACAGCTCTCCAAAGTCCATCCACCTTTGAAATACCATTGACTTCTCTACTCACAAAAATACAATTCCAATGTGATAAGCTCCAGCACATACTGCTCACTCTCCTGAAAATACTCGCCTGGCCATCTTGCAGCTCTCAACTTCATACGTTAAGATAAAGTTCTACAATGTTCAATCATCAACATTTGACATGTTCATTTTATTTTCCAATATATTTGCTCTGCAGGCAGGGGCTGCTGCTACTGCTGCTGCTCTTTACAACATGCACAACTAGGCTCTTTACCATTACTGCATTTTAAAAAAATTACTTAGTAATAATAATACACAGAATTCAAATTAGGTGTTAGATACAAATTTTCAAGAAACTAGGAAAAAAGAGGAACTTGTAAATTCCCATCTGTGCAAGAAATGACAAACATTTGATCAAAACCAAGAAATTTTCAACTACTAGTACTCATATTTCATTATTATCAGGTGCAGGAAGAAACAACTCATTTTAATATTACGTGTCAAGTAAACAGATGATTTCCTTTCATGTGCATTTATTGACACGAGAAAGTGATAAGAGAGAAGAAATTATAACCCTAAGCTCAATAAACCGCACACTGTTGCTTTTATAGTTAAGTTTCTCTCATGAAGTAGTAATAAGTATTATGTTCCAAAAATCCACCAAGTACATTGTTGTCTGATGCACTTTTATTTTCGTATATGGCTTAGCCACTTTAACAACACAAAGACCATGTATGTTTCATGAATGCAGAATTTATGTAATGTGAATTTAGCTTGACTACAGTACCATGAGATGACTCGAGCTGGTGGTTGGCAGTTCAGTTCCAGGGATGATGCATCTAACTACCCCACCAGTCTGGCCCACCACCACCTCCACTTGAGTATGAGCCTCCATAGCCACCCCCACTGCTATTTCCTCCATAATAACCTAATAACAGCACATAATCATATGAAACAAGACATTAATTTAAACAAATCAAAAATTAATATAGTAAATTATCATGTTAAAATAATTTTTTCAACTATCTGTCTATAACATAAATTTTTAATTCTTCTTTATACCTCAGACCCTAATGGCTTTACCACTTGTCCACTCACCAACTACAGTATATGATATGTACCAAGTTCAATGACAGACTTTTATCATTGACAAAATGCATTACTGCCATTTTCATGGATTCCACTACAATGTTCTGGATCAAAATGCAAGTTTTAAGATAAAACACACAACATACAGTGTTTATAAAACATTTAAACACATTCAAAAACTTTTTAAACCTTTTAGAAATGCTATTTAAATTGTTTGTACTTGTACACCAACAATTTAGAAGACCAGTGAATGGCTTTGTAGGTCTGTAAACAATAAAGGCAGGCCGCAGTAGCCACGCTGTCAGAGGCATGATCCTCGTGCACCTGACTGCTGCGACCGTGGGTTCGAGTCCCACTCAAGGCATGGATGTTTGTCTGCTACCAACCCGCACTGGTCAGCGTGGTAGTGTATGGCTAAAATCCTCAATGGGAGACCGATGTCCAGTAGTGGACATTGAGAGGTTGAAGAAAAAAACAATAAAGGAATCAAACATTCCCACATAAATGAAAGCACAAAGAAAATTATTGTCATTTTAAGGTTCTGAATATGCAATCTGCTGTTTACACAGCACACACCAAAATACTAATAAATTTAAATTGACAAACTGCACAACATTTGAACATCAGATAATTCATATGTGAATTTGAGATTCTGAGACATTGACAGGGTGTAGACATATTCATTGACACAGAAGAAGAAGAAGAAAAAAAGAAGCGAAAGTTATGTTTTGGGACCTGGAGAGACCTATATTTACATCCAACATAAGTTTTAAGGCATGAAGACTTAACACTCAAAATTTATAATGCATGCAAATTTTATATATAAATGCCATGAGACAGAACTCCATTTTCCTCAGATGATGGTTTGGCAAGCATTTACAAATCAAGATCTGAAAGGTTCAAACTATACAAAAATTTGAAAATGTGATAAATCAAGCATTGTGACAAACATTCTTAAAGAAACAATTTTCTTCCAGTATGTCATTCAGTGAAGAAGTAACATTTCACACATTAGAAACTGTAAACCAACAACTCGGCTCAACTGAGACTACAAAACTGTGTTACGACCACTATCTGCAAACAGTTTACATACTCTCTTTATATTGAAGGGAAATGTTAAAGGAGCCCAAAATGATTCAATATCTTCATGAACTTAAAGTATAATTTAAGAAGCCATGTGATCAGATAACTCAGAAACCACATACTTCCAGATATAGTACCAATATAGAACCATATCACAATTAAATGTAAAAACTGAACTATGAAACAGAATTTTGTAGTTTTCCATAGGATAGCAAGTTTCGACACAACAAATTACCTGAATGTCCTCCACCACTACCATAACCTCCGTAACCTCCTGTATTCCTACCTCCACCACCTCCTGAAGATCCCGAACGACTTCCACCTTGCTGACGATAATCTCTTGCGCCAAAACCTCCACTAAATCTAAAACACAAATGCAATATAAGCACACAATAATTCTGCAGTTTTACTTAAATATGATACACAAATTATTTAATTACAAACTTTGAAGTGTTTTAATTACTTTAAAAGATGGCAAAATACTATGAAATCTATGTATCAAATTCTGTAAGCATTCTTTGCTAACTGAAATTGTAAGTGAATGAAAAGTTACCTAGAGAGATGTATGAATCCAACTAAAAGCTGATACAGCCCTAATATTGCATTGACATTTTGCAATCAGACTTACAAAACCTGCAAAATTATGCTATAAATGTGACTTTGCAATCATAGTCGACAACATAAAGACCAGAGCATACTTATTTGTAGGCACAGACAGTTCACTAACATCAGACAACTCTGACATCATGGTGCCTTTTTCGAAGGTAAAATTCCAATAATGCAACATTAAGCTGTTACTGTAAGTACATTCTGCCTTTCTGCATACAAGTAAATTATGGAAAATGACTCTCTCTTCCCTACCAGCCTCAACCTAACATGATGTTACAATAAATAATTCTAACATTTTTCTTTTTTGTTGCCCTACTTTCTACGGATGCTACATTGAAAACCAACTACACCTAAGATGTTCTTAACTCTCTAGTAAGCCATTTATTGGATCCTCCAAACACCAACAAAATGTGAATTCTCATGTGGCAAATGAAAACAACAGAGACTTGCAGAAAGAGCTTCCTTTCAAATAAATTGATTTGTCATATTTCTAAAAACAATTACCTGTTATAAAGCAGATCCAAGGAAATTTAAGCAACAAAATTTTTCAACACTCACAACTGCACATTTAAATGTATTCATCCACTTCTGACATCTCACCTCTTTCCAGCACCACCACTGCGTCGGTTATTCTGTGGCATTCGTTGGTCAGATGCCATGGCCTCCAGCCATGTAGGCAATTCTTGTTTTGTTTCTACTATCAGTTCCACCAAGTCTCGGACCAGATTACGATTCTTGTCATTGAAGAAAGACGTTGCTAAACCTGCAAACATGGAAAAATCGATCATAATATTTGTATTTTAACTGTATTTGATCCATTAACAATAAAATTTATATGGGGGCTAAAGATGATCCATGATGACACATACCCAAATTACCCATGCGGCCTGTTCGTCCAATGCGGTGAACATACTCTTCAACATCTGATGGAAGGTCAAAGTTTATTACATGCTTCACATGTGGAATATCCAAACCACGGGCAGCTACCTATGGAAAAGTAGAATATGTCAATGGGACAAGTCCTATTTGGAGAAAAAAACTTCTTTCCAGGTTTCATATCCCAGTAAAAAGTCAACACAATGAATGAGCAATAAAATGTCATCAATCATCATAAAGCTGTAAATATACCAGCAATCAAAAACTGCAGCAATCCTGGCTCAATTATAAAATAAAGTATCTAGGAGGGGTGGGTATATAAATACATTTTAAAGGTGGAGAGGAGGATATAATATTAAAGACATGCAAACACAAACATTTTTAAAATTAGTAACTTCACTCAAAACATACCAGTGACCTTGGAAAATGTATTCACTCACACACATTAAATTAAAAAAATAATAAATAAAAATATGCAATTCATATTCATATTACTAAAACTGTGATCCCTAAACTGTGTTTGTTTCAAAGCAGCCACCATTCATTATCCACAAGCTTTAAATCCTAGACTATACAGTGACCAGGTAAAAACGAAAAGTAACACGATGGATGACACACTATTTTGTAAGAGTATTTTGGTTGTAAAATTAGTTCCTGTCATGCCCTAGTAACAGAATGCTTATATTACTTACAGCAGTAGCCACAAGAATGGGGGTTGCTCCTGAACGAAATCTTCGCAGTGCGTCCTCCCGTTCTCTCTGACTACGATCACCATGAATTGATGTAACTGGATAGCCTTCATGATGAAGAAATTCTTCAAGAGAATCTGCTCCCTTTTTAGTTTCCACAAACACAAGAGTCAACGATTCAGGTGCTGAAACATGGGAGTTCAACCCTGATTATTTCAGAGATTTTGTCAGTGTAAGCAAGTTTTCCAAGTCAGAAAAGCTTACCCATTTATCACCAATGACAAAGTCATTAAAACCACCTCCTACATCTTAAAATGGTTGTAAACAAGATTCCCGTTACTTTTGAACAGATAATCACCTGTTATTTTTTCATTAGAATTTACTGAAATATGATACAGTGAAACCTCTATCCATCGTTCCCGGAACTATCGTTTTCCCGGATGCATCGTCCGTTTTGTTCGGTCCCGAATACATCCCATATAAAATAATGTTACATTTTCCCGCTTCTATCGTTCCTCGAACTATCGTTTTATCGCATCAAAAATCTTAGTCCCGGCCCACAATTTTCCCGCAATGATCGTTCCTGAGAATTTAAAATGCTGGGTTTAGAGATAAATTAATACCGAAAGACGCACAATGTTTTTGGAATAAACAGTAGCGGTAACCTGTTATGTCGCCCAACCAGCACATTCTTTTGGAATGAGGGTCAGCGGTGCAGGGGTGATATTGGAGTGAATGGCGGTGCTCATTGTCAGAAATTTTACGATTTTAATTAGGGTGCACTCATATTTCGTTCCAGCGATGCCAGATGGCATGTGCAGTGTGAATTTCTTCACAAATGCTTTTATTACAAGGACAAAGGAAAGGC